TTTGTTTACCCATCAATATGGGTCCTTTTTGAACCGGGGTGACGTCTAGAGATCGAAAATTGATATGCGACGCCATTTTTAAATCCAAGATGGCGGCTTCCAGTTTAAGAAAAAGTAGGAAATGCTGTCAAATACTTATCAAAAACGTATTTTTGGAATCGGGAGGATGAAAATCGATATCCGACGCCATTTTGAAATCGAAGAAGGTGGCTTCCGATTAATGAAAAAGTGGAAATTCAGTCAAACACTCATCAATATTGGTATTTTTGTAATCTGTATGAAGTCTAAAGATCGAAAATTGATAAACGACGCCAATTCGAAATACAAGATGGCGCCTTCCGATTTCAGAACAAGTGGGAAATATTGTCAAATACCCATCAATATAGGTATTTTTGGAATCGCGATGACGTCTAGAGATAGGAAATCAGTATCCGACGCCATTTTGTAATCCATCAAATACCCATACAAACGGGTTTTTTTAAGAATCCGGGTAACATCTAGAAGCCGGGAATCGATATCCGACGCCATTTTGTAATCCAAACGGTGGCTTCCGATTTGCGGAAAAGTATCAAATTCCCTAAAATACGGATATTTTCAGGATGGGGATGAGACATAGATGCCGAAAATTGATGTCACACCGTCTTTTTTGGAATCGGGCTGACATATAGAAGCCAGAAAACGAAGTGCGACGCCATCTTGAAATTCAATTTAAGAAAAAGTGTCAAAAAGCCTACAAATGACATCGAATATCGATTTTCAGCATCTACGCGTGGTCCCCGTTCCGAAAAAACCCAGATATTAGGGTATTTGACACTTTTGTGAAACCCGATGGCCACCATATTGGATTCCAAAATGGCATCGAATATCGATTTTTGGCATGTACATGTTGTTCTCATTCCGTAAATACCCATATTTTAGGGTATTTGACACTTTCTGAACCCTGATGGCCGCCATATTGGATTCCAAAGTGGTATCTGATATCGATTTTCGGCAGCCACGCGTTGTCTCCGTTCCGAAAAAAAACCCATATCTTAGGGTATTTGACACGTTTTAGGAAATTTGATGGCCGCCATTTTGGATTCCAAAATAACGTCGAATATCGATTTTCCGCACCTTCATGTCGTCCTTGTTTCAAAAATACCCATATTGTGGAGTATTTGAGACTTTTCCTGACCCCGATGGCCGCCATCTTGGAGTCCAGAATGGCCTCGTTAATTTAATTTTAGTTTTTATTATTACTATACCTAAACTGGATGCCTTCCCTATCGGCAACCTATATTGTGCGAATACTATCCGGATACTATATTGTGATGCCTGCGTCGTCAGGTCGTGAGGTCGTGACAAGTCAAATGAGCCCCGAATTGAAGTGAAAGTGGAAAAAACGAAGGAAGCAGTTTTCGAGTCATTCATTGTGTCAATTGAAACAAGTATTTGCTTCAAATGAAATGAACTGAAGCACTTGACGAACGAAACAAGTGATAGTCCTGTCATGTTTGAAAAGAGGAATGTTCATCGTGACTCGATAACAAGAAACACGATGACTTACACGAAAATGATATTGCTCGAAATGAAGCGATTTTGCGGAGAGTTCATTTTCTTTTCTTTGTTTCGAAAATGCAGAACCCTGAGTGCGGATATGCGACAGCGTGCAGAACTTGATTCCTTTCTTGATGATGATCGCAACACCCCCCCCTCCCCCCTGGAGTCGATACGATCAAGCCGGATAATGTGGTGATCAGGCAACCAAAAGCTGTCACCGGATTTATGATGGGTCTCTGTTAGGAGGCCCACGTCGATACTATGCTTGCGGAGGAAGTCAGCAAGCTCGAGACTTTTTGCCCTTTTAGAGCGTTCCATGTGACGACAGTTATCGGTTTAGACACCATACTGAATAAAAAACTTACCGAGCACTTGGATCTGCTCGGGCTTGTTGCGGCACTGGCGAAGAGCGCTGGTCATGTCGACGAAAATCTTCATCAGCTCATCCGCAGAGAAGAGATCGGGATTGGCGTTTTGTGTTGGTGGTTGTCTCCAGAATCCAGGGGGGATGGAGAAATTTGTCCAGGTGAGGCACCAGACGTTTCTTGACGGGGGCCGGATTGCACCCGTGGATTTGCTTTACCGTGTTGCGTAGCACGAAGAGGCGGGAAGTCCTCCACCCTGAATGCCGGAGTGTTTTCCTTCTTCCGTCCTGGTTGGTTTCTTGTGGACGCTTGCTTTCGGATTGCTCGGAGGAAACATGATTTTGGGCGCATTTACCACAGCGCGGCTTCACGAAGCAGTTTCGGGTGCCGTGCCCGAAATTCAGGCAACACTGACACTGGGTGACGTCGTGACGGCCGCCACGGTATGGCTCCCATCAAACAATGGTGGAATTGATGGAGCGGATGGCCTTCAATGCACCAGAAAAGGCAATCCGGATACTTCTTGACGTTCTCGTCCCTCCTTGTCATCCGGAAGACGGCAGTTGGGGTCAGCTTGTAGCGGTTCTTGATTTCCGCTTCGATCAACTTCGGGTCAAAGTTCGGTAGACCCCTGATAACGACCTTGAATGGTTTCTCACCGGGAATGTCGTGGGTGAAGAATTCCACCTTGGCAGTCCTCAGGTGGGCGACGACCAAGTCATACTCCGCTTTCGTACGGAGCATCACCTTGCTGCCGACTCTGCCCAACTTGAATTCGGCTTTAACGCCCAGCGACGCCAGATCTGCGATGAGATCGTTCAGATGGGCGTTTTTTACTACCAACGGAGGTAGCTTTACTTTTGCCGTGCTTATGTCGGCAACGACACCGAAATTTCCGTCATCACTGCCGTTTATCGCAGTGGCATCGTAACAGAAAACAATTATTAGACGTATAATAAAGCATGTTATTAAATCAATTGAAAACAGTCCAATTAAAGCGTCAATGTATGTGCAAATGACTCTTATTCAGTATGTTATTAGATCAAACTTCTGGTGTTGAATGAGGAAGACAGTCATCGTTTGTATAGCTTTTAATATGTATATTAATCAAATCAGAGCGGAATAAAGGCGCATCTATCGATCTCAATGAGGTTTTTTTTCAGCACATAATTTGACAACCCGTTTTATTCAGCATTGTACACTGTTATAAAGCATTTATTCAGTCTATATGCTTATTTGTGACTCTGAATTGTTTGTTGGAATAATTCTTGTTTAAATATGAGTGAGCTCTCTCACAGGTAAATTCCAAATTGAAAAACAATTGCTTATTTCGACAAATACGAGCATTTAAAAAATTCTCTTTCATAGCTCCCTATGAAGGAATACATATTTCACAAAAATTTAAATGTCTTCAAAATGTCTGCGAAAAAAAGTCATCCCAGAATTTCAAATGTCTCAAAAATGAAGACATATTTTGAAATCCCTGCTTGTGAACGAAAGTAGAAATGTTGTTTCTCAAATAAATTAACCTTTCTGGCCTTAATTTAAAGGGGTTCTCCTTATTATTTTGACGTAGGATTACGTCTTTTGGCAACATATTGGGTAAAAAAAAAACAAAATCGACCGCGTTACGAAAAATGGTCAGATTTTGACCACTTATAACTCTGTCCATAGCGGATGGATTTTAATTCTAAACAATCCAATAGATTGGAATTTTATCTACGAAGCTGCTACAATGAATATTTTATCAATTTACAATAGGACACTATTGAAAATTACACAACTGCCCAACTGTTGAAATGGTGATTAAAATTATCACCGATTGTCTGCAAAAAGTGGTTTCCCTAACACAGTCGCCAAATATTGATACCGGGTACCACCACTTATTGCGCATATAGTAAATTCTTGCGTCACTTTTCAAAAGGTCCTAAGTAACAGATGTAAACAAACCGAGTTAAGCGATACTGAAATCTGTGAAAGGGAATCTAGTAGCATGTAGAACAAAACGTCCAATCTAACACTCATTGATTATGTCATTGAAAAAATTCGTCCAATGTAACATGTCCGATGTACCGTTTCTACTGAATTTTCAGCGTTATTATTCACTGACTATATTAAAAATAGTATTGCAAAATGTATTGTTTCTAAACAGTTAAAATAATAATCTGTCGAACTTCAACTTCGATTTTCTCAAAATGGTGGATAATGTTACATTGGTCTAGTTGAAAAGTGACGCGAGAATTCCCTTGCGTTCGACGTTTACACACTGTCAACCACAGTATATTCAACAGATGGCGGTAATGTTTTAGCGACGATAGTTTACAGTGAGAAATTATTCAATGTGTTACGTCTGTCTGTCTGTGGTATAAGAGCAAGTCAAACGCGCACTTGTTTGCCTGTAGATTTGAAGAAATACTTCAAATCTCTTCATACATTGTATGAGCTAGGTATAAAAGTGTGCCTTTGCCTAGTACTGTCGCATTAATGGCCCTTCGCTCATTTTCAACTTCTATTAAGTTTTCCTACTGCCGTACTGTTACGGAACTATCAAACTACCTACTTCAGACCATTCTCTAGCTAATAAATTATCACACTAATTATCATGTTAGTTTGTAGAACTGTATTTTTCTCCTAAATTTGTGGTCAATATTTTGATTTTGGTAGAAACCATTTTCAGCACCATGCGCTAGATAGATTTAGAAATGGACAATCGTAATCAATTCACGAAATCAGACATAGTTTGAACTCTTCTCTACTCCACCAGTTAATTATATTTATTATTTGCTCGGTTGCACCCATGTAAGAACTTTGGCTTGATCTCCTCGGTTGCTTATGTATCGTTTTAATTTGTTTCGTGTACCAGTCCGGTTCAAGATAACACGGCAGAAGAGACATTTACCCAATCACAACAAACAACCAGCAAGCAATGTTCATCCGATGAACAACCTTTTTCTCATGTCGATTTTTTTTTATTCTCCACCCACCCCCTCCCACTTGAAAACCACACTCGGTTCATCACACCATTTGCTCCTGGCAAAATAATTCCGACGACCGCATCGCTCCGATTGTTTCCTCCCCCCCTTCCAACAACCACAGTGACACCATCGGTTCCGACCTTCTCCCTGCCACCGGAGCATCTGCAGTCGCCCGGATCAGCGACCCTCGAAGATGTGCTCGCCTCGCTACTGGGCTTAACGACCGACACACACAGGTCCTCAGGTATGAACCTGTAAGTTTTACTCCAACCTATCAATGGAACTAAAACAAACCCGCTTAACCAACTCAACTGCATCCAACAAAGCAAACAAGCAAAATAAAAGACTACTCTAAATTTAATGCGCGCTAGAATCGATGTTCCGCCGTGTCGCTCGGAATGAATGCTGGTTATTTCTTAATTTAGGATGAAAACGCAAAACTTTAAAAAAAAAAACTGAAATTCCAAAAGACTTAAAAGTGTACTGATAGCTTTCAATACGTAGTTTAGTTCTAGGTAGCACTAATTGGATGTAGTTTCTTTTTCCGTTCGAATTTTATTTTTTGAGTTACGCCATACATTCTCGACAAATGCTTGACCAATCAAATCAATCTTGTTGCCTTATCGAATCTTGTGTTGCTTGAGATCAGATTCATATATTCGATACTATTGTATGCTGTTTGTTAGGAGCCTAATAACCGTATTCGTTCTCCGTGAATCCTTTATAGCTTTAGTGCGGGAAACCGTTTTACCACATTGTATTAACCTGACCCGGTCCTCTGTAGCTTTTAAGATAACTTAGCTGTAGCCGTGAATGTACTTAATTTTCCGATTTTTTCCACTGTTTTATCGTAAAATCCGTTCAATGTTTCGATGTATGTATACTTATTGTGATAATGTTCGACTAAGTAGGATTAGCCAGAGCTAGGGACTAAATAACTGTTATTAATTGTTAAACTTTAAACTCAGCTAAAATCGAACTAAATGTTAAGCTAGCAGCAGAGTTAAACAACTATATCAAAGAAGTTAAATAACTACGACCCATATGCCAAGTTGTCAATAAACCGAAATGCATTAATGACATGCTAAGAAAAAAAAACTAAGCAATTCAAAAAACGCTGTTTTCTTTCAAACTTCTCATTTTATTGGCTTGATCCCCCTGAAGCAGTTTATTTTTCATCGTGTTTCAAGTTACTGTTACTGTTGTTGTAATATTTTTTGTTACTTTTGAATTTATTTCCTTTGCATTTAATTATATCTGTTTATGACAATGTTTCTAGGTTCTTTACTACTGTTTCTGCTCTCTACTTAATCTTCACTGTTCTGTGTGACATGTTCTTTATACTTCCATTGCATTGTTTCAGTACTATGTGTCTGTGTGTGTGTTATTCGATTGAAAACAGGTTTCCAGTGTCGATCTACAGTGAAGGTTTTAGCTGCGTGGTACTCACCGAATCTATTATGATTGATGACGATGAATATTATGGGGATTTTTATGAGGCACAGTTAAACACCCCATAACAAGGATACGGAAAATTTCGGTAAATGCTTCTGATTGCTCCTGATTTCAAGTGAAAAAAGCTCATCTGGAAATTAATTAATTTCAGTGATCGATGGTGTTTTATAAATTTTTATCGAAATTCATAATTACATACCAGCAAATAGAGATTTAAGTCAAGAAATTCATCGAGTACGAGCTTAAAGGAAACATCCATGTAAATCAACGCATCTGAGCTTCGCCCCTTTCGATTCCCTAAATAACAACATGGTGCCTTGATCTATATTCTTAGAACTTTCATCGAAGACTGGCAACTTTTCCACTTCCAGAATCCAACCGACAGATACAGTAGCATTGCACTTGATCGAAGGTGAAAGCAACGCAAAGAAAAAAATATCAAATACACAAACCATTCGTCGGAAGTTGAAATCTAGATAAACATTTCAAAAGGTCCTATCTGTATTGATCGATTCTCTTCATCGACTTTCTCGAGCTGCAAAACCTTTCCCTGTTGTATTTGACGTTTTGGACGCTAGATAAGAACCTCCTTTATCTAACTATGTGGTAAAATTAGCGCGAAATCTGTTTGCATAGCACTGGTTATGAAAATAGAAAGTCGATGAAGAGAATCGATCAAAGCAGATAGGACCATTTGAAATGTTCATCGAGAATCATTGCTACCAAATTCGATCGGAGCATTTACTTATGACGATTTAAAAGGTATTGAGGCTGTGTTCCATTTGAAAAATTTCACTTAGATTTGACTCTTCGAAAATAAATTAAGATGTTCGAAAATCCATCTGTTGTTGATCGGCTGATTTTCGAGAAAGCGTCTGTCAAAATTGATTATTTGTCTGTCAAAAATAAGTCTGCTGGAATAGCAGGTTTATTTGAAAATTTTCCATCTGTCAAATTTAAGTAAAAATTTACCACATTCCCCGAGGGAATCGCGTAAATGGAGTACGCATAGCATATGGGATTTGACCTAATAGGGACCAACATGGAATATCTCGCAATCCTGGACATATAGAAGGTTACTGTCTTGGGCAAAGTTGTTCAGTGGATCATGACCTAAAGGTTGGTGGACAGAAGTTCGGAATTTTATCCCTACGCGGCGCTAGCGTGCATGAATTAATGATGCCCTTGTTTTTGTGATATTTTGAAATCCTTGTCATCTAGGAAGTTGCATTCTTCGGCGAAGTTGTTCAGTGGATCAAGACCAATATGGATGGAATATGGATATTTTCGGAATCGGGATGACGTCTAAAGCCCGTAAAACGATTTCCGAAGCCATTTTGAAATCCAAGATGGTGGTGGCTTCCGGTTTCAGAAAAAGTGGAAAATACTGCCAAATACCCTTCAATATGTATATTTTCGGATCCGGGATGACGTCTAGAGACCAAAAATCTATGTCCAGCTATGTTCTGCTGCTGATTTCAGAAAAAAAAAGTGGAAAATACTGCCAAATACCCTTCAATGTGCATGTTTTCGGAATCGGGATGATGTCTAAAACCCGTAAATCGATTTCCGACGCCATTTTGAAATCCAAGAATCTATTTCCAGCGCCATCTTGAAATCAAAGATGGCAGCTGCCGATTTAAAAAAAAAGTGGGAAATATTGCCAAATACCCTTCAATATGTATATTTCCGGAATCGGGATGACGTCTAGAGACCGAAAATCGATGTCCGACGCGATTTTGCAATCCAACATGGTGGCTCTCAGATTCTGAAAAACTGTCATATACCCAATAATATGGGTATTTACGGAACGGGTTCGACGTGTACATCCCGAAAATATATATCGGACACCATTTTGTAATCCAAGATGGTGGCTTTCAGATTCAGAAATACTATTAAATTTTGGTTATTTCGGAACAAGTACTACGCGTACATCCCGAAAATCGAGGTCCGATGCCATTGTTGAATCCAAGATGGTGGCCATTGACTTCAGAAAACTATCAAATCCCTTAATATATGGATATTTTCGGAACGGGGACGACATGTAGATGCTGAAAATCGATGTCCGACGCCATTTTGAAATCCAAGAGGCGGCCAGTGGGTTCAGAAAAAAAAACTGTCAAATACCCTATAATATGGATATTTTTGGAACTGGTTCGACGTGTGCCGTATGAGTGATAATGTTTGCACCATTAAGCAATGTCAAAATAAAAAAAATTCTCAAAAATTTCCTTGTTGAGTTTTTTATTTATTCAAAGGGGGATGTTTCTCAGAGTCTTAAATCCATTTCTCTCCAGGTACGGGTCAATGTCTGAGGCTTGCTGTACTCGGGTGGCGTTTAGAACAGGCCTTAGCCTTCATGACGCGCCATATTGAGTAATCCAGCGGATTACGATCGGGGCTGGATGGCGGCCACATATCTTTTGCCCAGAACGGAAGATGTTCCTGCAACCACTTCTGAGTGCGGCTCGAGGTGTGTCACGGAGCCCCATCTTGATGAAATACAACATTTGGCTTCGGACCGTACTGTTCTTTGATCCACGGAACAACATACTTACTTAAAATCCCGATGTAGACCTCCGTGTTGACCTTGTCGCCTTCTGGAATGAACACCGGGTCCATTCTTTTTGCCATCGGAAGCCACCAGCACAAACACCATAACGCTAGCAGGATGCTGGGTCAGATACACGTTCTTGTGCTCGTCGGCCACGTCTTTTACCGGAAGAGAACTAATATACCGGTAGGTTCTGGAATTTGATACGGGATCGACGGTAAACATGCTCTCGTCGGTGAACAGGATTACCGGATTTTTTCGCTTAAGGAAGTTCAAGATTTTCTTGCATCGTTCGAATCGTAGCTCCCGGATGCGGTTTGTAATCATGTGAGTTTTTTTTTGCGTGCCCTCGACTTGGCCCCGCAATCTTCCTTTACGATTTTCTGTGCCGTAAAGTCACTGATCCCGTGTTCCTTTGAACGCACTGGATTCAGCCGAATATTCCTTTGGATAGCAGCGATAACCCTCGGAACCCGAGCTGGCCTCGGACGACCTGTGGCCACCTTCGCGGATAGTTGTCCTTTCTTTTCTCGGTCTAAAACCCTTTTGACGGTCCACCGTGACACTCCCACGGCGATTGAAATGTATTTTTGCGACATTTTTGCGTGGGACAAATCACGAATACGCTGCCACTTCGTCATGGTGCAACTGTCAAACTAAGTAAATCATTTTCTTTTATACACAGCCTACTACCAACAATCAATACGAAACTAACGATTTTAAATTGGCTCACTACTTGACTAGCCTATTGGTCCCAAGCAAATCGACTAACGTACCCCATTCTAGTATAAATTCCAGTACTACACTATGTTTGTTTTGATTCGCTAGGAAAGTTTGACAGATAAAATGAAGGGGTTAGTGGATTTTCCTATGTTTCGAGGAGTGCCTCGATTAGCTTGGGACCGAAGATAGTACCAGAGCTGAGCCAAAAAGTTAAAAACGGGAACCTTATTTGTACGATGGTGCAAACATTATCAAGCATGAATTGAAAATTGATGTCTGATGCCATTTTGGAATCCAAGATGACGGCCGTTGCTTTCGGAAAAGCTGTGAAATTCTACGATATGGATATTTTCTGTAAAGGACGCGTGTAGACGCCGAAAATCGATGTCCGATACCATTTTTGAAATCCAAAATGGTGGCTCTCATATTCGGAAAAACTGCCAAATACCCTACAATATGGGTATTTTTGGAACAAGTACTACAATTTATGTCTGACACCTTGTTGTAATGCAAGATGGTGGCCATTGAATTCAGAAAAAAACTGTCAAATATCCAATAATATGGATTTTTGAGACGACATGTAGATGCCGAATATCAATGTCCGATGCGATTTTGAAATCCAAGATGGCGGCTTCCGGTTTCAGAAAAATATAGAAATACTGTCAAATACCGTTCAATATGAGTATTTTTGAAATAAGAATGACGTATATAGAATGACATTTAGAAATAGAAAATTAGTGTCATGAATTCCAAAATGGCAGCTACAAGATACAGGAAAAGTTGGAAATACTGTCAAATATCCATGAATGTGGGTATTTTGGGATTCGCGGTGGTAGCTACGAACTAGCAATTCCTGTCCGATGCCATATTGAATTCCAAGATGGCAGCTTCTGGTTACAGATAAACTAGATAGTAATGTTAAATACCCCCATAATATGGGTATTTTCGGAATGGGGACGATATGTAGAGGCTCAAAATCGATGTCCGATGCAATTTTGGAATCGAAGATGGCAGTCCTGTTTTAAAAAAAAAACTGTCAAATACCCTACAATAGATGGAAAATTGATGGCTGACGCCATTTCGGCATTTCAATTTTCGACATATGCATGTCGTCTTTGTTGCGAAAATATCCACATTGTAGAGTATTTTACAGTTTTTCCCACTTTTTCTGAAACCGGAAGCTGCCATCTTGGATTTCAAAATGGCGCTGGACATCGATTTTCGGTCTCTAGACGTCATCCCGATTCCGAAAATATACATATTGAAGGGTATTTGGCAGTATTTCTCACTTTTTTTGAAATTGGAAGCCACCATCTTGAATTTCAAAATTTGAAAGTAGGCTGATCGGTCTGTAGCTTGAAGCTAGCGTTGGGTCCTTCCCGGGTTTTCGGATAGGTATGATTTTCGCTGTCCCCCCGGAGGGATAGCACAAGGGAAAGAATCAAGGTTTGCTCAACCTGATCATCGAGCCAAGCAAATGCGATGAAGCGACATACTACAAAAACGAAGAAACATTCTAGAAGACATCAAATTGCTACACTCAATAGTTTCGTCGCAAATAGCCATGTCCCACTATTTTTGATTTCTTCCCACTGTGCATCGGAATGGCCTCGACTCTTCTTTATCTTCTTACTGCGATTTGCCGTCACAGCTGGCTGGGTATTCCCATCGATGGGAAGAACAGCAAACCTGTTCGCTGTAAGTACACTCGAGCTTCCTTCAGCGGTGTCCTGGTCCTTCACCGAACTTCGCGAGTCTTGTTTCCCTATTTTGGGGCACGCACACAAAAATCGCGATTTTGTTACTGTTGTAAACAGCAAAAAAAATTGATATCACATCAAAGTGGATGCACTTCAATCGTGTCTCCTTTGCTCCTTTGGACCTTAGGAAAACTTTGAGAACTTCGGAAAAGTTCTGAGAATTCCGGGAAAATAACTTCAACTACTGAAAAGTTCATTGATCATCAGTATGAAGCAGAAACATTTAAATTGAAGTTCCGTAAACTTCGATAACCAAAAAAAAAAAAACAAATTGATTGTTGATTGAATGGCAATCTTAATATTTTAAAAATTAGTATTTTTAAGTTTTATGGCGAGCTGCTTGAAGAAAAGTTTTACCCATATTGCGGTGTCATTTCGAGGGAGCTGAATTATATATGTACCTTTTATTTCAATCGTAGGCGCTTCTGATCGGGAGCCGAAGTTCAGAGAAGTTCTGCCGAAGTTCAGGGAAGTTTTGCCGAACTTTAGCCCTACCAATGTTCAGGGAAGTCCTGCCGTAGTTCAGGGAACGCCTGCCGAAGTTCAGGGAAGTCCTGTCGTAGTTCAGGGAAGGCTTGCCGAAATTCAGGGAAGGCCTGCCGAAGTTCAGAGAAGTTCTAACAAGGTTCAGGGAAGTCCTGCCGAATTTTTGGAGGCGAACCAGCCCAAGGCTGAAAGCCTCCCTAATAAAGATAAATAATAATAATAATAATAAGTCCTGCCGAAGTTCAGGGAAGTCCTGTGAACTTCATGGGAAGGTCTGCCGAGGTTCAGGGAAGTCCTGACGTCGTTGATAGAAGGCCTGCCGAAGTTCAGCGAAAGCCTTCCGTAATTCAGGGAAGGCCTACCAAAGTTCAGGGAAGTCCTACTGAAGCTTAGGGAATTCTTGCTGAAGTTCAGGGAAGTCATGCGGAGGGAAGTTCAACAAGGGAAGTCCTGCCGTAGTTCAGGGAAGGCCTGCCGAAGTTCAGGAAAGGCCTGTCGAAGTTCAGGGAAGTCCTAGTGAAGTTTAGGGAACTCTTGCTGAAGTTCAGGGAACTTCTGTTGGACTTCAGATAAGTTCTACCAAAGTTCAGGACAGTTCTGCCATTTAAATTCTTGAAAGTCCTGCCGAGTTTCAGGGAACTCCTGCCAAAGTAGTTCAGGAAAGTTCTTCCGAAGTTCAGGGATGGCCTGTCGAACTTCAGGGAAATCCTGCCATTTGATTTAAAAAATATTTCACTTTGCAATGGCAAAGGTGGGTGATTTCCAAAATAGTTCAATTTATCCAATTATCTTTAAATATATCGAGACATTTCAAAATACCTCCATCAAATAGGCTGAAGTTTTCACAGGATAACCTCAAATACTTGTGCAACAACATGTAAAAGTTAAGGATCAGTTTATTTAAAAAAATATTTCATTTATCAATGGCAAAGGTGGATGATTTCTAAAATAGTTGAAGATATAGTTTAATTTATCTTCAAAAATATTTCGAATATCCAATTCAATTTATCTAATCATCTCTAAAAAATAATGATAAACATAATAATAATAGAAAATTTGTGTTTTGGAATTACCTTTCGCTATCATCTGAAATTGTTACGAACAATCCGAAGGAGTTGTTTTGCTACTCCTCTCCAGATTCTAAACTTTCACCTATTGACTGGTTTATCTCGGAAGATCCTGGAGAGGATCCTGCTTCGCCCTGTGGCAATGTCTGTTGAAATTTTTCGTCATTCTGCTTCTGTTTTTTCGGGCGGTCCGCGCCAGGAACGCTGTCTCCCTTTCGAGGAGCCTTCGCAACTTCCGGTGATGAACCACCATTTTCACTATCAAATGATTCAGGATTGGAATCCGTTTTTGAATTTCGTTTTTACCACCACTCGATAATCGAATTTTGAATTGAAATACCAAAAGATATCTTACAATATGCATCCATTCTCGACTACTTTTTCGGAGGGATGTATCAGCTTTTGTAAACAATGCATTTGATTGTCGGTTTGGCGTAACTGGTAGCTCGCACACGCATACTAACGCCTTTATCAGGTAGGGGAAATTTTCCCCTACCTGTAAGTGGCGTTAGTATGCGTGGGCGAGTTACCAGTTACGCCAAATCTACGATCAAATGCTTTGTTTACAAAAGCTGATACGTCCCTTCGAAAAAGTAATCGAGAATTATTGCGAACGAAAAACGTCACGCGCGAGCCTGATCATGCTCATGGTGCTTGCTAATTAATCGTGTTATCATGCATCTGCGTTAATTTTCCTTCAGATTTCACTGCTGTTCTTAATGGTGACATCTATCAGAAATTACGCACACACTTAGTTCCGTTAATTGTTAACAGAGGGCAGTGCGGCCAAAATATGTATGGTATGGTATCGCTATTCAATAATAGAAATTGGCATGACCAATAGATGAAGTATTGCCTCATATCTCTGATAGTGTTATTACTTTGCTTGATTTAATCATTGTCAGCTAGAAATCAACGATGGAAGTCAAAAGTAACAGTAACTCGAGGTACCGTAAAACGGGGTATCTTTGATAATGCGGGTAACTTTGATTGTATAATATAAAGATTAAATTTACTCGCTGCGCTTTCTCTAAATTAGAAATATTGGTTCCATATTGTACCTTAGGGTATTTCCGTTGATATCGTATATAGTTTTTATATAGTATGTGTTACATATTTTAAAAACAGATCAAAAAACCATTAACGTAATTTTCGCCTGTTTGAAAAAGCACTCAAACCATCATTTATGAAATGTATTTCCGATATAGCCATCACAAATTCAATGTTGTATTCTTATTGCCTATGATGTTTTCTGATTATATACTCATTCAGAGTTTCATATTTAAAGAACTGAAAAGTTTGAGTTTCACGATTTTTTTCTACATTCATCGAGCATTATGAAAGTAACCCCAAATCAAAATACTGATGTTCGGTCAAACAACTTAACAAAAAATGCATATGCTTTAATTTCCGTTAAACAAATAACTAACGAATTAACTCCTGGATCCTCAGTGCTTGTTTTAAAAATATAAAATTTAAAAAATATACAGTGCTTTAAAAAATATTTAGAATATAATTTGAACAATTATCAATGCTACCCCGTTTTGCGGTATATCTGTTTATACAGTTAGATAAAAACCCGAAAGTCCCTCCTTTTTTACATAAGCTTGCAAAAATGCAGCCAGGTCGATTCAAAACTCCAAAATATTTGCCTTTGGAAAAAAAAGGTAGAGATTGATAAAGGTTTCGAGGTCACACAAAGGTTAAATAAGTTGTGATACGGGTATCACAAAGAAATCATGAAAATCGACACTGGAAATCTATTTACCTGCCTTGATCCTTGTATACATTCCCCGTGTATGTGTTTTCAAATCTATTAACGGGTTTGCAAAAGACTCAGTTCCAGAAAAGTTCAACAGAACACGTCGTCACCCTGTATTTTGTTTTCTTTCTCTTTCTTCCTTTCTTCGATCGCCCTGCATTCACACCACATCCGAAAAAAAAATCGCCAAACCCCCCTCCCCCCCAACAACCCCGTCACTGTTTATCTATCTCTCTCCTCCCCTCGCTCATTTGCAGTGGATTTAGCTAATTCCAGCCAAACGCCAGCAGCAGTTCCCAGTAACCACACGCTTCAGATCGAACCCGTACAGACGCGGAGACGCAGCGAGGGAGACGCCGGAAGGAGACGGAACGATAGTGGCGGTTCCGGTGCCGCTAGCAGTGCTGCCAGTAGTAATAAGGATTCCAACAGCCGCCGGGTATCGTTGGATTCGTGCGACCCGACCCACAAAAGCCACGGGGATCCCCTCAAGTGTCGCTACCCGAAATGTGACGCCACGGCAACGATAGCCGAGGCGAAAAAGTCCTACAAAAGCTGCCACAACTGTTCGCATCTGTACTGCTCGCGGGAATGCCGAAGGGCCCACTGGGAAAGACATCGGAAGGCTTGTCTGCATTCGCGAATTTCCGCCCTCTGTAGGGTGGTGCTGTCCACCTGCAAGGACGACCCGGACACGTTGCGCCATCTGAGCCTACTGGCCAGGCGCGGTTACTTGTCGCAAGGACGAGGTGTTGTTAGAATACTATTTCGCAGTCCGGAGAATGCGGACTCGTTCATGAAGCAGGGTTTTCAGTGTTTGGGTGAAGTGGCGTACGTGCGCTGGCCGGACTTGCTCCCGTCTGAGATGGGGCCGGAACTGTACTCGGAGCTGCTCAAACTGAGCACCGAGTACAAACCCGACTCGAAGATGTTGATCTACGTGGCGATTTGTGTCGTTTCGGAAGCTCCGGGTAATGCTACCGCTCCGGTCAAGTGGGAACGCCAGCTGGTATCGCGGTGTGCTAAACTTAAACTTTGCAAATCGGTTATCAACGAAATCAACAACTCACCCATCGATAAGCAGGTTCCGAAGAAGGAATCCGCTAACGATGTGCTGATCTTGTCGTTCAACATCCTGACGAAAACTACTCAGAAGAGTCGCGAATTGGTGTCTCAAAACATCCAGAACATACTGCGCCAGCGGGGTGTCATTTTGCGGAAGCATTATCCCGAAGTCTTCCAACGGCTGTCCACGTTTGTCGAAGGTTCAACCGATCGGTTCCTACCGGTGACGGTACATCCGAGGGATAACGTCACCGGTAGACCGTTCGTTTGCATCATCATGCCCAACTATGGCGATTCGGACAAGTTGCAGTTTCCTATTTCAGAGAACAGCGACGATGACCGGGTGGTGACGATAGACGTCGGCACGGAGCTAGGTGGGTACGTTACCGATACGGGCAGCAATCAGTAAGTTTGGGTTGGTGATGTTTGTACATAGGCGGTAGATTTCTTAGCGGGGTTGAACTACGCACTGAAGACCGACTAGTTGATTACCAACGCATCGGATAGGTTGTATGGAGGAAGCTGTAGCTCCTTCCGTTCGATTTTTGTTTTTCAAAGAACTGAAACCTTCCTTCCCAACATCCATTCCGTTACGCCACAACCACTTCCTCAAGAACCAGAACTGAACCGACCAACCCCAACATGCCAAGAATCATTTCAAAAGAACGTGTTCCAAAATCCCTCACGCAACCGAGCGGCAATGATCCAGGTAAGTGAAACACAATAAAATAAATACGAAAACGAAGAAGGGTATAAACCAACAACTGAATAACGCCAAATTTTTGATACTCTGTGTAGAATAGGATAAACCAATCTGGAGGAAAGTCAAACCCTTAGGTGTTTCCGTGAAGAAAAAAAAAACGACTCGTTTGTGCTATCCAACTCCAACTTGTAAATTTTCGAACGCAACTTTAAATGTACCCATTCCTCGCGTGAACCCTTCCAGTGCTGTATCGCTCTTTCTCTAATTAAGCCATTATTCGTGCTGTTGACGTTTGTTCAAAGTAAGTGCTTGGCAACCATTTCCCTCTTTTGCAAACATTGTCGAAGTCCAAAAAAAAAAAGAAGCTGATCATAAACATTAGAATAGATCTCTCCGCTAATGGTTCCCCTTTGTGTACCGAATCGTCTCTCCAGTAGGATCAGAATAAGTAATATATAGTTGAAAAAATTAACCACTTTAAATAAATTACCATCGAATTTACCCGCCCACATTGAGAATGATTGGATGCAAAAATTCTAATTCGAACACATTAGATAAGAGTTGAGTTTCTGAGATCCGGTAGATGGAACATTGTTTGTAGTCAATTCCAGAGTTGGACAAGTTGTAGTAACATTAAGTAAGACAAATTTCAGGAAACGGCGACCACGACAGACAACTGCAAAATCTACAGATCCATATCGGTAAACATGAGTATAAACAAACTAAACAAGAGGCATAGAAACTATATCCTACTGACCACTTTTGGCCCCCCGGGGGTCGAACTTAAACAGATGCATTTACTGGCAGGACAGAAAAAAAGGAAGTATGTAACATTGATTAATAACAACTTTACAAACAGTTTATTTTTGAAATCTATATCGAACCTGTGTTTCGGCAACCCCAGACAACTTGGTTCATGATGTCACTTTCCTCATAACTGAAAATCATTAGGAATAAAGTCTTACAATGTGCAAGTTGTACTCACAAAACAAACGGTCAATACAAGTCAAAATTTAGGAAGGGTGTTTTTGGCGCGGAGAAAAAATGAATCATCCTACTCATTTTGATTGGAAGCGATCTTAGTCGATCTACGCTGGCGGACGGCGTCTACCAGCAGGTTACTTTTTTCAAGCTAACTAAAAGTCACTAAACTCACTTTTTTCCCGTTTCCAAACTTTGTTTGTATTTGTATTGTCCTTAATCAACTATAACGATTAAATATTTGTTTTTGTTAAGTAAGTACCTGACAAAAGTATATCACTTCATGATTTAATTTTTTTTTCTCTTCTTAAAAGTTCAATGTTAAAGTAAAAAAAAAAACAATAACAATTTCTGAAATCTTGGCTGCTCTTGTTTTGAACTTTATTAAGTCTGTTTAAAGCTTGAACAATTTTAGAAAAAAGTTTGGAAAGAGACAAATATCATGTATGGGTTATTACTTCCATTATTGGTATTACGATATACAGTCATCTCTGTACAACTCAATAATACCATCAAGTCATCAAATTGTCAAGTTATATAACAACAATCAGATAGGAAATCATTTGAGAGGACCATAGTCCAGCAATAGCCATGAATATCAACTTCAACTACACAGTTCGAACGAGTAGTGGAAATTTCTGTTCAATATGATGCACATAAATAGAGCTTCACATATCATATAAGTTTACATTACAAATCATTTAAAGTTCTGATATATTTCATGTAATTTTGCATACCCAGCTCAAGTGGGTACACTTGTGGTCGATGCCAAACTCGACAAAAACGCTTATTTTGGCATTCTGAACAAACGCCTTTTTTGATTTTGCTCTGAAGTGCCTAGATCCCTCTCGGCTACAATCCTGGATTTTCGAGATTAAAAAAAATATATAGAAGAGATTACTCCACAACCAAATAACCTAATCGTGATCTTAGAACGTCAATTTGAAGTTTTTTTTTTAATGTAGATTCACACAGGTGTATCCACATTTTATTTTTGTTATAGTAACTACAGTATACAGGCTGATTACCAGCAGGTATCGAAATTGTCAAAAACTTCACCACACTTTGGAAAACTCTAAATGGAAATAGTTTTTGAGATATGACCAGATGATTGAGTGGGACTTCTGAGCTTTTCTGGTGGAAAATCAATGCCATTTAATATTTTTATTTTTTTTCTTGAATTCCTTCACGCCGATGGCACAATAATATTTTTATGCAATTTTTCACATGTTCTAGTCAGGATTCTCATTCTATGAAATCATTACTAGCTAATTTATTTTCTCTGTCCATAATCTAAGTGTGGTCTTAAAAGTGAAAAATACGTTCCTATGGGATACAGCCAAAACGTTGTGCTTTTGAAGTACGATGAAATCAAATAGATTGGCAGATACATATTTAAAATTTCAGTTGTGGATGACAGCTGCTACTTGAATAATACCCTTTTATTTATTTTTTAGATACAATCTCACGAGCAAGAATGCTTAATTTTTATTATTGTTATAAAGAAAAATAAACGTTGAACCTTTGTTTTTCATTTTTTTTTGTAATTACTTTATTTGTACAGGCTCAATCGAATAAACTTTACAGAGCCGAGTTATCTTTTGCGTTATACATTATTACTGTCTTATATTTAAAGTTAAAGAAACTGGACCGAGTACTCGCGGTCGTCTCGAGGTTAGTGGAGATTTACAATTTTTTGGATGGGAAAAGGGAAGAAGGAGGTTTGAAATGTGGCTTACGATACAACTATTTAATTAATCCTAAAGCATAAAATTATTTCTATTCATCTTGAAAACAAACATCGAAAAAAAAAATCCCAGACGTACAAAACACAAACTAAACACAAGGTTAATCAAACTTACAATCTAAGGTTAATATCGTTAAAGTAAACATATATGAGTTTCATAAACTCCAGATCGCGTCTAGCCAAAATATCCCGAACTGGAACATTAGGTTGTCTACCTCGAGCCCGAAGGGAATCATTAAAATGTGATCTAACTCCACGATACTCCGCACAAGACCAAAGGATGTGATCAGCGTCCTGGTAACCTTATCCACATTCACAGAGATTGCTGTCTCCCAACCCCACACGGAACAAGTGAGCGTTTAGACAAAAGTGATTGGACATGAGACGAGACATCACGCGGACCCAAGTCCAACCCTTTGAACCATGCAAACTTCGACACCTTAGGGATAATTGAATGTAGCCATCGTTCACTCCATTGATGTTGCCAGCTAACGAGCGACTGCTGACGATAAATAGAGAAAAATTCACTATAGGCGATCTGTCGATCATAAATGTCGCCTTCCATAGCGCCCACCTTCGCAAGTGAATCCGCCTTCTCATTGCCTAAAATTGAGCAATGCGAAGGGACCCACGTGAAGGTGATGATGAAAGAGCGCACGGATAAAGCACTAAGACGTTCTCGTATTTTCAAGAGAAAATACGAGAAGTGCCTTACCGGCCTAATGGAACGGATAGCCTCGACAGAACTGAGACTATCCGTAAAAATAAAGTAGTGGTCTGGAAGAAGTGAAGCAATAGTTTCCAAAGTGTAGTGAATTGCTGCCAGTTCAGCCACATACACAGAACAAGGAGCTTCAAGTTTTCGAGAGGCGCTATGAAATTCATTAAATACACCAAAACCAGCGGACTCCTCTATTAGAGATCCATCTGTGAAAAACGTTCTTGCAGAATCAACATGGCCAAACTTTGCAGCGTATAATGACGGAGCAATCATAGGACGATGATGCTCTGGAATTCCGCGGATTTCCTGCGTCATAGATAAATCAAAATTCACTGAATTGCCGAAATCGGAGAAGATTACACGATTGGGAATATTTCTTGAAGGGCTGACATCCTGTGTTAAATATAGGTAGTACAAAGTCATAAAACATGTTTGAGGATTTAGGTCCAGAAGCTTTTCAAAGTTTTCGATCACCAGTGGGTTCATTACTTCGCAACGGGTGAGGAGCTTCAGAGATAACTCTGAAAAACGGACGGATAGTGGCAAAATGCCCGCCAGCACTTCGAGACTCATAGTATAAGTCAAGTGCATGCATCCTAACGCGATACGAAGACAACGATACTGGATCCGTTCCAGCTTGATGATGTGCGTTTTAGCTGCCAACTGGAAACAAAAACTACCATATTCTAGAACCGATAAAATCGTTGTCCGGTACAACGTCAGAAGATCTTGTGGATGGGCTCCCCACCACGTTCCGGTAATTGATCGAAGGAAATTGATCCTTAGTTGGCATTTTCGTATCAGATACTCAATGTGGGATCTCCAGGTGCATTTGGAATCGAACCAGACCCCAAGATATTTGAAAGACATGGAATGAGTGATCGGTTTACCCAAAAGTTGAAGCTTCGGTTGTGCTGGGCTATGCTTCCTAGAAAAAACGACCAACTCAGTTTTCTCCGTGGAGAATTCGATACCCAGCTGAATAGCCCAAGTAGACAAATTGCCCAAGGTATCCTGTAAGGGTCCTTGCAGGTCAACCTCTTTTGGCCCTGTGATAGACACTACGCCATCATCTGCAAGTTGTCTCAACGTGCAATTGTCACTAAGACAATTGTCAATTTCTCTAACGTAGAAATTGTACAAAAGGGGGCTTAAACATGAGCCTTGGGGAGACCCATGTAGCTAAATCGAAAAGCTGTAGAGTTTCCATGAGAAAAGCTCATATGTTTTTCTGACAGCAAATTGTACAAAAAATTATTCATTAATGGAGACAATCCACAAACGTGGAGTTTCTCTGAAAGAACTTCAACGGATACTGAATCAAAAGCCCCCTTGATATCCAAGAACACAGAAACCATTTGCTCTTTCTTAGCAAAAGCCAACTGAATTTTCGAGGAAAGCAACGCGAGACAGTCGTTCGTTCCCTTACCCCTACGGAAACCAAATTGAGTATCTGAAAGAAGGTGGTTCGTCTCAACCCATTTGTCGAGGCGAAAAAGGATCATTTTCTCCATCAATTTCCGAATACACGACAGCATCGCGATGGGCCGATACGAATTGTGATCCGACGCGGGTTTATCAGGCTTTTTAATGGCTATCACCCTTACTCGTCTCCAATCGTCGGGAACAATATTGAGCTCCAAGAACTGATTGTACAAGTTCAACATGCGCCTCTTAGCGACGTCTGGGAGGTTTTTCAGCAAGTTGAACTTGATTCTATCAGATCCCGGAGCAGAATTGCCACACGAAAGGAGAGCGAGTGAAAGTTCGACCATTGAAAAAGGTTGACTGATTTCGTCTACCGAATTCGCGGTTTCGCGAGGAATCAACTGCGACGGCACGGAATCCGGACACACTTTTCGCGCGAATTTAAGAATCCATTGATCCGAGCATTCCTCGCTTTCGTTGTTAGTAGACCGGTTACGCATTCTTCGCGCCGTACTCCAAAGCGTATTCATAGACGTTTCGCGCGACAATCCGTCTACAAACTGCCGCCAGTAACCCCGTTTTTTGGCCTTGATGAGGCTCTTGAGTTCGCGTTCAAGAGATGTGTATGCGTTGAAATGCTCGCGTGTTCCGCGTTTCCGAAAAAGTTTAAACGCGTCGGACTTTTTACGGTAAACCTCCGTGCATTGTTGATCCCACCAGAGCGATGGTGTTTTCTTACGAATAGACGATCGCGGCACCGGTCGTGTTTGAGCTTGAAGTGCGCTGTCGACGATGAGATTAGAGAGGAAATTATATTCCTCCAACGGCGGAAGCTCTTCCACTGACGATACTGTATCGTCTATCACGGATTGGAACTTATTCCAATCGATGTTACGGGTTAGATCATACGCGACGTTAACGGAT